GATTACATCTTAATTGTGCACATAAGCTTGCTAACGTATGCTAATTAGCACTACAGAAAAAGTAAAGCTAAGGCTGATGGGAAATAATGTCATTACTTATGAGTCAAAAGGGAAGTAATGTTATTGGGCAAACTGAAATTTTGACCTGAGGATGGTACTGTCATGGGCATAGACTTTATGAAACAATGGATGTAACCATGGTGACGTCACCCAATGGTTTTTGTTGCCAGAAGTGACCATATTTGGACAAGATGGTGGAGATAACCTTAACCCTCGCTGCTAACTTAGCTAGCACATTGCATTTACAGCAATGGTTAACTGTGATAATGCTAATGGCAATGCTAATTTTCACTAGCAAGACACAGGTTTAACCATTAAAACAAAATGTATTTACTTAGGGATGGGCATTTTAAGTAATTTCCATATTCAAGTACTCGCATTAGATTTTTATAGTGTTCAAGTACAAAAAGTAGTAAAATATGCTTAAGAATAGGATGTAAATTGGCCAACAATGGAAAACAAGTGCAATATGAAATTGATTCAGTTAACAATCAGGCTTCAGTTAGCCTATTAAATCACAAATTTAGAAAATTTTCTGTTGCTGCCAGCGTTACACAAGTCGCAGCTCTGAAGGACTGTCTCGGAGCTGCTTTCCTCCTAGTCTGTTCAACGTCAGCCCAGTAAGCACAAGCTAACGCAGCAGTAGCTAACATCTGACACAGAGTCGTTTAACGGCCCTTACAAACTCACACTGATACTGAAAGAGCTTGACTCTATCCCAGTAATAACCAGTGGGAAATGTTAGCCATGTGTTGCTAATAGTAACTGTGTCACTGTGTGTCAGCTGACACTCCCAGAGCAGTAGGCTCAAGATAAAAAGCCAGCGCAACAGCAGGGCAACTAGACACTGAGTAAAGCAATACACTCACGCAGCCCTACAGTGAAATGTGATTTTATCCATTTCATATAGCAGAAAAATAAATGTCATGCCTATTCCTGCTACTCACTGCAAAAGAAAGAATATATGACTCCTTAGAGGGTCTTTTAGTATGACCAAATTGTGATCAAAATGTTACAATTAACACTCATGCACTGAAATAACGGCTACACCTACTCTGGAAAAATCTGGGGTTGCGCGATTACATTACCTAACCAATGTTCTTGTCATGGTAGCAACTAGTCAATAGACAGCCCCAACCTGTTACTCAAAGCGGCCGTGCCCTTAATTATGCTTAACTTTGAGCCCTTAATAACATTTAAGCAGGTGAGCTATATACAAATCAGGGTCCCAGGAAAGCAGCTTAGCCTTGCTTCCAATTTTTCCCCATGGCCACTCATGGTATTGCTGCGAAAAAATCCATTGTGGCACATAAAGCATTTTCCCTGTAGGGCCACCACTAGAAAAGACACAACCACTGACACTTCGAATTGCAAATAAAGTCAATTATGACTTTTTATTATGAATTTTTGATCCAATGGAGGATTCCTATTTGTACAACTGTCCTCGAGCCAAGAAAAGTGTTTTTAAAACTCATGACTTCATTATAATGTAAAGTCTATGAGTGGGAACTCACAGGCAGGGACAGCGAGGGAAGCACTGCTATGCATATTCAGTGGGCCACATACAACAGAAGTAAACCTGGAAGCTAGAAATTTTTTTGGACATAAACGCAGACGGGCAGTTCCACTGGACTGAATAGGTGCCATCTTAGGATCCAGTATCTAGCTACCATACACCCATTACTTCTCCTGTAAATTTAAACGTGAGGGTCTGTGGCGATTGAGTCACTCTTAGAGTGGGCCTCAAGTGGCCATTAGAGGAACTGCAGTTTATGGCACTTTATGTTGGCTTTTTTTTCAGCCCCATAGGTTGTCGCTTGCTCTGGACATATCTAAGGCCATTACAATTCATATGTTATGAACATGAATTTCTGTAGAAAATTTCTTGACAATCCATTCAACAGTTCTTGAGACATTTCACTCAAAACCACAAAATGTAAACCTCATGGTGGCGCTAGAGGAAATATCATGAGATCACCAAAGTCACAAGGATACTATGAATGTCTGTACATGGATTTCCAGGCAAACCATCTCATAGTTGTAAAGAAAGTAAAATGGTTTCAGGTTATTTCAGTGCAACAAACATAAGAAGTGGACCGACCTACTAAACAACCGTCCAACAGACTGACATTTGCATCCTAGAGACATGCTGCTAGAATGGCTAAAAAATAAGCAATAGACTGTTACAGTCCTGTTGCTGTCATGATATAAAAATAACTGAATGTGGTTTTACTGTATTCATGGCTTACATGAATATCTCACATGACTTTGAAGTGGTGTCACATGAGAGATATTATTTCACATCATCAAGTCCTTTTATGGTTCAAGCTCCCCATTTTGCCTTTTGTGAGTTTGTGCAGAATAACAAAGCAGTGATCCGAGTCCTTGATCCAGGCTCAGGGACTGGCCTCAGTTACGTAAGACCCAGTCAGAATCTGACAATTCGGTGTGCGTGTGTGTGTGTGTTGGAGGTTTAGTCGGGTGTGTGTGTTGGGCGGTTGAGCCAGCTAATTCCTTGGGAGAGCGTTGTTAGCCTGGACCATTTGGGGAGCTCTCTGGGGAGAGGCGTTGCTCCGGTCTCTCATCAGGCAGATGACAGAAGACTGCGTGCTCTGCATGCTGCACTCATCTCGGCCATGATAGCTTCACTGCACAAGCCGTATCTCTGCTTCATTTACTCATTGTCTGATAATAACAAGTGTCTCCTTTCTGCTATACTCAATTACATCTTCATTAGCTTGCTAACTAGCTTAAAACAAATCAGCATTGTGTGTAGAGATTTTAAGTCTATGTGACATTTATTACCAAGATGCCTGAGTCTATAGGTGAGGGGCCGAAAAGAGGCGCAACATGATATTTATTATGTCTTCATCTCTCAAGACCATTCACTGTCTCATCATAGCATCAATTCATTTTAATTTATCGGCTAATGAACTCAGTTCATTCATCATTTACTCTGTTATCTAAACAAGGCGACTGGCTGACACATTGGCCTCTCACTTTGGTGCGCTGCCAATCAAATACTGGTCCCATAGTAATTAGCTAAACAATAGGGAGTTGTTCCCATAAGACAAACTGAGGTATTACATCAGATCACACTGAAAAGCAATCTAATGAAAATCATACAACATAATTAGTTGCCGGCGACTTTTCGTGTACAATGAAATGACAGTGTGGATTAGAGCAGGTAAGTGTGCCAGCAATGTCAAGTACCAGACCAGATGCAGAGCTGCAGATCTGAGACATGCTGTTACAAAACCACCGTGGGACACACAAAGTGAGAATTCAAATCAAATGCCTTTTTAGTTTCATCTGTACGACACCATCACGTTTTCCTGCATTCTTGCAGTTACTTGCCCCCCGGCCTCTGAAAACAGGATGTGCCCTTAGTTTGTGAGGGAAGTTCCATCATGTCAAAGCAAACTTTGTTTGTTACCGTGCTGAACAGCTGTGGCCTCAATCAGTCATCCTCGCCTTTCTCTAAGTGGAACAGACAACACAGGAGGAGCAGGTTACTTTATACCACCCCTGTGTATTTCCCCATTGTTTGAACAATCTCATTTTCCCTTTCGGTCCCTCTCTGTTCCCATTATTTATCTTTGCTTTACAGTAATGTCAAATCTTAGGCTCATTTGCTCTCTCTACGATACGTCTCTCCCCAAACCAGGGCCAACCCTTGTTCCAGTCAGCAGGGTTAAATAGTTGGCTGGAGTTCAGAGCTGTGAACTTTCTGAACAAAGTGTCTCTTAATGAGACATAAACAGACAAGGGACAGTATCTTAAATGTCCAGCCTTCCTTCCTGCGGCCACTGCCACTGACATGATGTCAAAAAGCTGGTCCACCCAAGCAGTCTAACTATAATACATCACCAGGGCTGGTGGCATAGACGACGGGCCGTATCAACCGGCTGCCTGGGGATTTTTAAGGAGAAAACAATGACAGTTCAATAAACTGCTGGTCCATGACATCTCTGTTTCTGAGAGGGCAAAACTTTTCCTTGGCTTTCATCACCCTCAAACCAGAGTCTCATGTGTGATTACAATAAGCCGTGCAGCTAAATACTTCTTGTTTGCTGACTGCTGGTTGTAGTTCCTCATTCAGCCGACTCCTCACCTCAAATCTGGCAGCCACTCAGCAGACTAAAAATAATTTTGCATACTTCAGCTGGATTATACAGCTGATGTCACTCAATGTAAAATCACAAGACACATGAAAAATCACGCCTTACAACCACAACATTCACCTCGACCTTGTCTGCTTCTCTAAGCGCTGTTGCTTTGACAACAGGGAAGAGACACCTGTAAATGGATGAGACTCAGTACAGTGAAATGACAGCAGAATATGAACACAGCCGTGCTGGAAAAGTCCCAGTGAGGAAACAGCTAAGACGCTCTTTTACAGGAGACTCAAACAAAGCAGGACAATTTCCTTCCTTCAGTTCAAAGCACGGATTTGTGGTAATAAGTTATAGCAGAGTCAAAGCCCACGCAAAAACGAATTCCAGCACAAAGTCTAAATGAGCATTGTTTCTCATAGTGCAACTGACGCACTTCCTCTTTAAGCTGTCTTCACATGTTGTCTGAGCTCAGTTTGTGGGTTTCCTGATTTGGCGGCAGAAGTGAAACTCAAAGCATAATCAGAACAGACATACAGGAAGCATAGGTACAAACTAAGGAGAATGGGTGAAGGGCTCCTGAGACATGTGGCGTGACAGTAGCAACAGTCAATTTAGGGGACAGTGAAGGTGTAGGCACACTGAATACAATTTGTTGTCAGTACTGTCAGGAGTGTTTTTTAGCGAAGTGACAGGCTTTCAACATTGTGTGTGTGTTTAGAATCAGATGTGGCCAACAAGGTCAGCAGCATCTCTGCACTGAATCTGGAGCTAGATTAAATTTAGTTTCTCATATATCAAGAGAAAAATGAAATATACGCAAAATTCCATCAAAAGGTAGCTTTATTTATACGTGCATTCATCTGTACAACAGCTTATATATACAAAATGAATATTAACAGGAACTGTACATTAAAAATATCAGCACAAAATGACATTTGATATTACACAGCAGATCTAAACCCCTTGGATTTTAAATTACTTTAAAACTAAAGTGCCATCTGTAATTTGTAACGGCCTCCTTTAAAAAAAAAATGGCACCAAGGATTTAGGGCCCTTTACTGGCATAGCACTTACGGGAATTTTAAATGTGGCACGAACATGCTTTCTATACTCTGGGCTGCATTTTCTCTCACGCCCGCACAGATGGAAGCTTTGTCTAGTTTTGGGAATATGTCACACATCTCGGATCTGTTGCTGCGGGGACGTCGTCTTGCCGGCTGGACGCGGCACCGCCAGGGGTCTGAGGGTGTTCTTGCATTTTGGAATGGAGTGCCCTTTTAATTTCTGATGTTAACCTTTTCCCCTGGAGCAGCCAGGGGAGCGTTTGCTCCCTCAGATCTGCTCTGGTGTAGATCTGCCTGTCTGCTCGGCGGTAGCCAGCCATGTCGCCCCCGGCCCATTTCTCCCCGCTCTGCGTGGCTCGCTTTCTCTCTGTGTTCACATCTCTGCAAAAGAGAGAGGAAGAGAAAACTACTAAAGCTCAGGAGCCAGAATACGAGAACACACACACAAACATACACTGACTAATAGGTGAGCCTTGTAAGGATACAGGGGGAGTCACGATTAATTTGTAACATTAATTCTCTTTGCGTCAAGACCACTGATAGCAGCAGATGTATGTTGTGTTCTTTGTGGCTTGTGTGCGTGCACAGGGCCACGCATGTGCTCACGGCCCTCTGAAACACTACTGCTTTAGTGCTGATAGCAGGAACACGATGCTCATGTAGTCAAGTATGCCATTATCACTAAAGGTCGTGTAGGTAGTCCACCTGAGTCCCCAGACACGGCATTTACACACAAGAGGTGCTCAGAGATAAATGGAAGCGGGGGGAGTGGTAGTACAGTCTCTTTTTTTTTCAATGTGTAATATAACATGCACTTTATCTGGGTCTCCGCCACCATTATACACCACAGCCTGCTGTCTTGTCAGCTTAAGTGCAAAAGTTATAAAGAAAAGATTGAGTGATAGGGGGTGTAATTCTCTTAAATACCCACCTGCAAGCTCCCGGTCCAACATGTCGATAAAACTCTCAAGTTCCCGTGTGTCTCCCAGCTTGGCTGCAGAGGACAGAAAGAAAAGGAATTTGAAACTATGGAAAAAAAACAGCAGTGGAACATTTTTGTGGAGAAATGCGGCCCAGTTCAATGGCATTTCCTTTTGGACCAGAAGCCGAAAACTAATCTAAATCCCAGAATTACATATGAAGCAAACTGCGATGGGAGAATTATTTTCAGCTTCTTTTCTACAAACTGAAGCAGATTTTAAGCGGCTGCAAAAACCCAGACAGCTTGATGGATCCTGCCAGGGTCTCTGCTGTAAACATCTTAAGGTATTCGGCGTAAACACAGAGTTAATGACACCGTCTTGTTTTCATCCATTGAGATTTAACAGTAGTCGTCTGTGCATCTGCATGCAACAAGATGCAGCAGATCTCATTCATTTACACACACCTGAGCCACACTCACCGCTACATAACAGCACAAATAACCCCTGCAGGAGACTTGGGAAAAGGGGTGGTTGGGTAGGGGGGGTGGCTGAGACGTCACAGTCGCAGCGGCGGGAGCTTTGTTGTGTAAAAACAAAAGAGCTCCCAGCCTGATGTAGAGGGGTTTTTTTCTGTGGCTGTGATAGTGATCTGAGCTAAAGTGATAGTGATCTCTGTAAGAACCAGGGCTATCTGGATGGAGATGGGCTGATGGGAGTCTGTAGTACCTTTCGGTGCCAGCGTTATGCCTGCTGTGTGAAGCTCCTCCTCGCTGGTGTTCAAACTGTTTCCCAAAGAAGCCTCGCTGCCTGAGGGGAGAGGGAGGCGAGGAGGGGGGTGAGCGGAGATAATAAACAGAAGACAGGCGCTAAGGCCAGCCCATGCAAATGATCAACAACAACAATGACAACAATTCGAACACAATGCAGGAGTTGCACATAATGATAATAGCATAAAGCAAAATGAAGGTAAACGCGTGTTCACTGTTAAGCGACTCCCGAGTGTCAGCTTTTGAAACGTCGGGGGGCCAAGATACTTTCAATAATGACGACGCATGGGAGCAAGAAAACACACTTTCTTCTTTTATCTCATAACCATCGACAAACACACAACAGCAGCAGCAAGAGGGAAAAAAAAACAGACAATTACAGAAGATAGGTTATCCATAATTGCGGTTCATTCTAGTACACAGCTATTGTCATGAGCAAAACAGCCACTTTAATAGAAGTGTACAGGGATGTGTCCTCTTGTACCACTAATTTCATGCAAATTAAAAGTGTCAAGCTGCAGTTGTTTGGGCTGATAAAAGGGGCTCAACCGGCACCCACGGGGCCTCCATACAACTTTGCTCAACAGTAAACGATGCACTAAACAATGTCCTTCCTTCCTCACACCCTGCACAATAAGCAAACATAATCACAGGAACACTGCTCTGGTGTGTTCCTCACTCACCGTAGTCCGAGTCCTCGACCCCGCTGTCGTCCGCCAGCCCCGTGCGACTTTTGGCCTCCTGTAGGACGCGCTGGTAGGCGTGAGGTTTGCTTTGAGAGGGGGCCTTCAGCTCCTCCACCACATCCTGGAACTCCTGCAGCAGCTCGCCCAGCTCCAGCTCCAAGTCTGCGGAAAATGTGACAGCACATGGAGGGAAACCACATAACTCCACTGAAAGGAAATGTTCAGATCATCTCAAGTTTTCTTCAGCAAGCAAAACATACATTCACACACAACACAACCAAAAACATTGATTATAAGAACTAACCTACAACACCAGCACCTTCTGGGTGACAATGAAGTTAAATAAAAGGCAAACCTGCAGCTGATGTTGATGTCAGTGGGTTGTATCTGACAACTTGAGGTGTGAAAATAAACCCAACATCCCACAAGGCATATAAAACATCTAACAGCCTGTAAAGCACCTGGCCTGCTTACTGTGATACATAAATATTACATTTTTAAATCTAAGTTCAATGCTTTAGGCTGCAATAAAACAACGCTTTTGGCCGTTTCTTGAATAAATGTACAGTCATTAAATAACAGATGACCACAGCTCGGTTTACCCACCGTTTTATGAATATGATAAAGCTTTTACAGTTCCCTATGGGATATAGGAGAAGCGAGAGTAGTAAAAAAGGATGCAGCGGGCAAATATATATAAGTACACAAACATTCAGAAATGTTAAAGTTTGGTAAGTTAAAGAATACAGCCTTCAGGAAATAGTTTATGTGTAAATATATATAAAAATACAGAAATACATAGCACATAAACAACTAGGACAACATGGGGTCAAAAATGTGTAAAAAAAAATAAATAAAAGTGCTGCCCATTCTCTCAGTCTAGCTTTAATTCACATCAGCATGATGTGGTGTATAAAAAGGATCAGGCAAGTGTGGAATTTGAAGAGGTTAAACTATAATTTACAGTACCATATTCTTGCTTGTGCTGGGAGGAGGAACATTTTATCGCAGTGGATTAATGAAAAAGTACCAACTATTAAAGCCTGGCAGAGAGTGCTGTTTGATTTAGTGCCATTAGAATAACTTATATCTCAAAAACAGACCATTTCTATAAAAACTGGGAGCCATATCTGAGCTACTTATAGCCTGATTGTCTAGGCTGGAGTTACATGTATGAACCTGAGCTGGTGTTTTTGATTTCTGGTCAGTGTTTTGTGCTTTTTCCTCTCTCCAATGTATCCACCTAACACTCAAGCATACTGTCAGAAAGTATAGGTTACAGCCCCTCTGAAAGGATTAGGCAGGCGTTAGCGGTTTGTCACAGGCCTATGATCACCATCACTGTATCACCATTTAAAACTAATGGCTCAAGGAGTCGTTAAACTCACCTGTGGTAATGTCTGAGGTCATGCTGGAGCAGGGAAATTAAACACCACCGGGCTGCTGCTGTGTGTCTGGGTTCAGAGCGGTTTGAAGCGAACAAGCAGGGCTGAAGTTATATTATAGAGCCCTCCACACACACACACACACACACACACACACACACGCACACACACACTCATCCGCTCTGCTACCAGACCGAACCAGCCAATCATGTCGCAGAAAAACCGCAGACATCTACAGTAACTGGAAAATGTGGGCGTAAAGTTAAAAGAAAAACCAAATGAGACTGAGCCGTTACGCAACACAGGTCGAGCCGTATGAGTCGTTTTCCCACTCATGCTCCGAAATGAAGAAGAAACTGGATGTAGACTTTAAAAGTTAATGTTCTCGTTTAGTGTTCATGAAGGATTCATCATGTTTTGGCACAAGCAGCTTGTTACAATAGGATTTTACATTGAAGAGTTTGAGTGACGCTTCTCTGAATAATAAAAACTGTGATGACGATGAACAATCCTCCTAAACACTGTACAGTAAAAAAAAAAAAAAAAAAAAAATCGGGCTATTTTTATTCAGCAGTATTGGCTGTTTGGATTTGTTCCAGATTCCTGACTCATGGTGGACTTAGTTACTTGTATAAAGAGCACTCAAGTAGAAAAGAAATGTGGTTTCTCCATGTGTCGGACAAAACTTTAAATTAGCCTTGGCTTATTATAATCCTGCTGCGAGCGGTGCAGTACTCGACTCTGCCGACAGAGGCCCCCAAGTGCAGTTTCTTTTCAAACCCCTACAGACCAGAATACCTGTACAAGCCCATGCGCCCTGTCAGTGAAGTATCCTTATTAACCAGAGCCAAAAGTGGTACTCTGATCATTTACTTAAATAGAAGTACTACCCTACTACAGAGGACAATACTCCATTACAGCTAAATTTACTTAAAGGTCCAGTGTGTAAGATTTAGGGAGATTTAGTGGTATCAACCAGCTGAAACTTCTCCTGATTAGAATTCCTTTAGTGTTCATTGTTCAGGAGGTTTTTACCAGGAGCCAAACTGTCCGCAGAGGTCTCCTCCTCTTCATAACAGACAGACCTGTTGATTTAAACTGCTAAAAACACACGATAAAGCAGTGTTATGTCATCAGTGTTTCTCACAATCTGTCTGGCATGTCGGAGACAGGCTGTAAGCTTAGCGCCTGCTAATGTGTGCTCACCTTTTTCCTCTGATAACTTAAGATCAAGATGTTCAGGAGGTTTTTACCCCAGCTGAATTATCCACAGAGGTCTTCCCCTTTCCAAAATGTCAGTAAAAACACTGGGGGAAAAAAGCAGTTTCATAATATAAATCTGTTTTTCCAGCACTGCTCGTCATGAAGGGTCTTCTAACCACGGATGCCGACAAGAAAATGCAAATGGCCCTATCTACAGTGGGTGTTTGGTTTGTCTGTTCAAGGCTACTGCAGAAACATTGCTGTAAACATGGCAATCTCTGGACAAGGACCGGCTCCAAATGTAGATATAGACGGTTCATTCTGAGGTAACGAAAACACAGTTCTTATTTTCAGGTGATAACACATTAAAGAAAACATACTTACTGTGTTTCTGCTGATATATCCCCCTGAATCCTACACACTGGACCTTTTAAAGAAGCCTACTCATCAAATAAACCTGTACTATATCAGTGGTACAATTCATTCATTATTGTGTGTTATATTGTGTAGCATTTTAATATTGAAGCTAATTTCATTTACCTAAAGGTCCACTGTGTAGGATTTGGAATGGAATGGAATATAATATTCATCACTATGTTTTCATTTGTTTAAAATCACCTGAAAATAATCATCTTTATGTTTTTATTACCTCAGAATGAGCTGTTTATCTTCACACGCAGAGCGGGTCCTCTTCCATTGAATCCACCATGTTGTTGTACATTAGAGGACAAACCAAACACTGGCTCTACATTGGGCCATTCGCATTTTCGCAGTGGCCACCATAGTTCTTGTACACACTTGGTACGAGGAGAAGTTTCAGTTGGTTGCAATCTGCAACCTTACCACTAGATGCCACTAAATCCTACACACTAAACCTTAAATATAGAACATATAACAATGCTTATTTACAATAACTTAAAAAAATAAATAAAACAAAAAGCGCTGAGCAAATGCAGCTGTAATTGATTCGTTTTTAGCCACCTAAATAAAAAGACCACCAAAAAAACTATCAGTTTAAGTGTAGAATATTTTCACCGCTCTACCTTGCGATCAGAAAGTCCTCTCATACGGGGAATTGAAGCTGTTAAATCAAAGCCACCAGACTCCACTGACAAAGACAGTAATTTTGCTTAGCAGAACACTGGAGTTGCTGGTCTACAGTGGCCTTGAAACTGAGCAAATATTTAAATATAGCATACACTTACAAAGATGACACAAAGCAACAAACAACCTAAAGTGAGCACAGCAGAAACGTCTGACAGGTCGGACCACCATGTTTAACTATCTTTAAATGTTAAAGCAGCTGAAAATGACAACAGAAATAAACAAGTTTGCCAGATTCACATATCTCACAGTGATCCAGTCTATGCTGTTTGGGTCTATGTCTATAAAATGCATGATATTTTACTATGTTTTAAATCTAAACCTACAAAGTAACCAGTAACTAAAGCTGTCAGATAAATGTAGTTCACTAAAAGTACAATAATACCCTGTGAAATGTACTTCAGAATTGTACTTGAGTCACTTTTTACCACTGATGTTCACCTGTAGACGAAACTACTAGTTAACATGTTCTCATGTAAATGCAGTTAGAAACATTAAGTACTGTTAACACTGTTATTAGTGTCAGTAATAAAGACTTGATCTCTGGGTTATAATGGCTTCTGGAAATGTGGACAGAGGAAAACAGTGCCAGCACATAAATCTGAGAGAGAAGAAAGGATTCAGAGATAGGCAAAAGATTACGCTGATGTTGAAACAACAAGCAGGTGGCAGGTGTGTGAATAAAAACAGGTGTGTTCACACATTTGGTTATAGCACATTAATCCTGCCCGTATAGTTTAGAGGTAATGTAAATAAGCCTCATGCTTACTCATTGTTTTATTTTTTGCATGGGTGGCAACAAAAGCATGTGTTCAATTCATGCAGCTCAACCTGTTGTTCCTCTGACTTCTCCTGTGTCTGTCTGACACGCAAGGTAAGTGTTGTAGGAGGGGCCTGTGATGAATTCTGCCTTCAGCTGTGCAGGTTTAGGTTGCCGTCTCTGTCCTTAATGTTCATTTGCTGCTGGGGGAACTTGGGTAACATGTGCGAGGGCGATGGGCCATGGGACTCCTGATAATATGAACTGGGCTGGACTACTGCAGGTCAGTGAGTCAAACGCAATGTGAGGATCATCCATTCTGCTGGTGTCTGTGTCAGTGTTTCTGTCTGAGAGAAAAGGGTGTAACTGGAATGTTACTCCACAGTGTGTGGTTTTGAAAAATATAAATGCACTGAACGTGTGAAAGAGAAGCTGGAGAGGAGCTGAAGAGCTTTTGGGTTACATGTAAAATGATGCCTGTTCAGGGGAAAGCTGATAAAAAAATATTTGTGAAAATGCTGAAATATGCAAATGCTGCTTTTATTTTTGCAAAGCCAAACATGCTTTGCTATTTGCTTTTTGTTTTTTTGTGCGTGTTGTTTGTGTGTGAGAGTAATTGGTTGGAGATAAGTGGGGGGCATCACATTACCTTCATTGTACAGTTGCCTGCTTTTAAAAGAGCTCACTGAGGCATGAAGTTTAAGCCTTATCACCACTAGGGAAAACTTCTATACTCTGTCAGTTTTAAGTGCAACTAAATCATAACCCAAATCAAAACTACTGGCTCTTTAAAAAAAACAAAGAATTACTGCTCACAGTTTGTTTCTTCTCCCGCCAGAATCTGCTGGTTGTGGTCCATCTGCAGCAGATCATATGCGGTTCTGTCTGGTTTTCCATCCCAGAGGAACAGGAGCCTGGTATTCTGGCGGGGTCACTTAGTAAACACTTTCCACCTCCGTACCAGCTCCTGACCCAGGAGTACCTGTGGATGGACAAAAACACAGGGAATTTCTACACCACTGAGCAAAAGATGGATCGCGAGGCCCTCTGCCCCGAGGAGACAAAAGCTGAGGAATGCATTATTTTACACAATGCTGTCGTGGGGCCCTCTGGAGACCTTATACAGTTCCCTGTGATCATAGAGGACATCAATGACAATGCACCTCATTTTGAAAACAGTGAAATACACCTGAGGGTGTCTGAGGACGTGACTGTGGGGACCAGTTTCTTATTGGATGACCAGGCTCAGGACAGTGATGCCGGACATAACGGCGAGCTGCATTACCACCTAGAAGATTCAAATGGAGTTTTCAGTTTGAAAGTGGACGGAGACGAGCCTGTCATCATGCTGGTTGTGCAAACAGCTCTAGACAGGGAGACTCGGGACCTGTATCAGATGGCGCTGGTGGCCACCGACAGTGGCGCCGACCCTTTAAGTGCTACAGCAACTTTAATAGTCACAGTGACAGATGTTAATGACAACTGTCCAAGCTTCAGCGCCGACAGCCCCCGCAGTGTCACCATCCCTGGTGACTCCAAGAAGAACATGCTGGTTGCTCAGGTCAGAGCCACAGACCCAGATTCAGGCCCAAATGCTGCCATCGTATACTCCCTCAGTCCCAAAGTCTCTGAGCGGGCCAAGAAGCTCTTTAGCCTCGACAGCCTCACTGGGTCCATCAGACTAACACAGGACCTCCAGAGTGACAACTCCGAGGAGCTGCTGTTGAAAGTGTTAGCTATCGGCCATCACTGCCCCCCAGCAGACATTCAGGTAACCATATCCGTGGTCCCCAAGGCGAACCAAGAGCTGGCGATCAAGATCGGGTTCATAGCAGAGCATCAAAACCAGACTATGGTGATACCAGAGAACCAGCCCCCCACCGTCTTAGCTGTTTTAGAGCTTGAGGGTGACAGCGGCTTTAAAGGCTCATCTCTTGCCATTGAGAGCGAGGTGCCTTTCACTTTGAGCCCACAGAATGGCAAATATCTGCTTTCCACATCAAAGCCTCTAGACTATGAGATGAAAAGCGAACATCATATTTCTGTGGTAGTGCACGGGAGATCAGCCGAAGGATCTGTGATCGCTCCTTCCAGGCGTGTGATCAGGGTGTTGGTGGCAGATGTCAATGATAATGCTCCACATTTCCTCCAGTCTCACTACCAGCTGGAGGTGGAGGAAAACAACCAGCCAGGGATGTCCCTGTTGTGGGTCTCAGCGTCAGACGCAGACAGCGGATACAATGGCAGAGTGACCCACAGGCTGGACAAGCACACATCTACCATCTTTAACATTGACCCCGTGACAGGTCAACTGTCCGTGTCAGCCTCTCTGGATAGGGAACAGCAGGGCGTACACAAACTCACTGTGTTTGCACGAGATAGCGGCTCTCCTCCTTTGGAGTCAGTGGCCACAGTATCCATTCGTGTTCTGGACCAGAATGACAATGCACCTGTTTTTCTAACCCCTCACTTCATCTTTTTTATCCCTGAGAATGTACCACCGCTTGCCCCAGTAGGGAGGGTGGGGGTGACAGACCCAGACGAAGGAGAGAATGGGAACACAGAGCTGCATGTTGTAAACAGCAGTGGACCTTTTGTTGTAGATAATACCCAGGGGACGCTGCGCACCACCACAAACTTGGACCGTGAGACAGACGACCGCTATGAACTCTACCTGCTGGCCAGTGATCACGGACACCCACTCGCTTTAACTTCCCTTGCCAGGGTAACTATCTTTGTGGAGGACATCAATGACAACCAGCCAAAAGTGATCCTTCCCAGCAGCAACTCCTCATGCCAGACTGTCTCTCCAGGAACTATCGCAGGCACCATAGTAACAAAGATCTATGCCATCGACGAGGACTCAGGGCTGAACTCAGAGATTACATACACCGTTGTTGCACCGGAGCCAGCACAAAATAGCAGCCCCTTCCAGGTGGATTCAAGGTCGGGGAACATCACCGTGGCTCAGCAACTTCTACGAAAAGACCTAGGAATGCATCACCTGTTCATTGTGGTCAGGGATGGGGGGAAACCAGCTCCGCTTTATACAACTGTGTGGGTTAACCTGTTGGTCAACGAGAGCATGGGGCCCTGCCTCTTAGACAGGGCCCCCACCTGGACAGGGACATCTGACTTGGTTCAAACCCCCTCAAAGGCCTCCATCTGTGAGGTGGAGGACACCAGATCTGCCCGACTGACACTGTTAGTAGGCCTGGGCATGATGCTGGCGTCCACATGTTTGCTTGTGGCGGCAGCTGTTTTATACCTGAAACAGAGGAGGAGAAGTCTACAGCAGAACAAGAGGGGGCACATCGAAGAGAACGAGATTCCACTCAGGCTCAAAGACAAATATTACTCTGACGACTAACAGAATAAAGCAAGCAGTGTGCGTAATCCTCGCTCACACTTTGTCAAGGATGAAATCAGCCTGTGAATTAAACACATTCTGAATGTTTGTCAAAGGCTTCTTGCATTTTGATAATCAAATTCGCCGAATTATCCTGATACACAGTGTATTCAAACATTGCGAAGACTGTGACATTCTGTGGAAATAAAGTTGATCCATTTTCTGATAAGCTGCCAGGAAAGCATATAAAAGGTGATCTGATAAGTGAAGCATTTGAGGTTACCGGCAGAGACTTGTAGAAAAATGTAACTCTGTAATTTAACACAGGTGATGTGTACAGTATTAGCCACCACATGATAGAGCATATCACAGCAAGGCATTGCTAAAATACCAGCATTACAGTCATTATCTTTAGGGATTATTCTCCATGACCCCTGCAGTGAGAAGAAGACTGAGGTAATGGTCCGCTAAGTTGATTGGGCCTTTCTCAGATTTCCAACTCAGAGTGATGGGGAGTCTAAAGTATTTAGACACACAAAAGGGGTTTAATGTTCCTCCGGTGGGGAGGTGATGAAAGTCTCTCAAGAAGCAGCTCCGAGACGACGACGGGGGGGTTGGAGCGCAGCTGTGGACAGGTGAGAGGCGGCAGAAGGGGAAGGCACACCGCCATCTCAAGTCACCGCCTCACACCTGTTACCCGATAGTGCTGTTTCTCACCCACAGCGCTGGATCGCACCCAGAAGGCAGGGAAAAACCTACTGTACTGCACCCAGTAACACCAACAGGCTCTTTGTTTTGATGGCAGATGTTTGGAGTGAAATCACACTGTGTTCAAAAAAATCTTTACAAAAGCCAGTTGCTCCCATGTGTTACTGATGCATTTGTATGCTGGGGAACAGTTGAGATATCAAAACCAGGTTAAGTGATGCATAAAGTATGAATGAGTCAGGCTAAAAGTGTGTTTACAAATCTGCGAGCACACAATTACACAAAGAGGGCAGGCTAATTGTTTTGAGCTTTTACAAAAGAAAATGTTTTTATCTTTGCCGTATCATAAACTATTGAGCGACCCTTTCAAGATACACCTGTGTTGGAGGAGAGGAGGAACGCCACGAGTCAGAGGCTGTAAAACACAATGTACAACAACCTGGTTAGTGGAGAACAAGGCTTGTATAACATGAGGGGTGTTTCTCTGAGGAATTCTGAGCTAGCAGCTCAAAAATAAATAATCTAATAGGGCTGTACTGCGACACTAACTACATTAACTGAGAGGAAATAAAAGGCTGCATAACAAGACTGCAAATCAAAGAAGCATTTTAACATAAGGAAGTAGGGATTCCATTAGATTAAAACATGTACAAATGAATATTAAATATAGCGTGGTTCAAATGAGACATTACTGACCTGGTTGATTAAACATCTAACATCCCCACAGAGTTTTTGGAGCATCATGTTTAAATATGCTTTCTGACTAAACTGATTCTCAAAAAAAAAAAAGAAAAAAAAGGTTTAGTATTGTGGGATAAAACTTCTCATGTGCCTGCTACTGCAGAAATGCTTTGGCAGGAGAAAGCCTGCCATCTACTGGGCACAGCTGAAGCCAAAATCTGGCTCTTTATTTCTGGTATTTTGCCAGAGGGTGTAGATGAATCAGAGGACAGTCTCTCACTCTGCCACAGTCGGGTCACATGAGATCAGTGATGCTTCCCTGCTGCATGCTGCTCAGCTCCACTCACAGCACATCTCATCTTAATCAAATTCATTTTTCCCCCCTACTTTTACCAAAGCTGAGCATTTTGATAGTGGGTTACAGGGTTGCATGAGCTGACATGGACAAAGAAACCAGCTGGCACCGACCCAAATACCCACTGGATTATTTCTGAGATACACATCAGGGGTTTTATGATCACGAATGACATAACAATCCAGTCTAATTAAAAAGAGCACTGATGCTTTTCTTATCAATGAAAGTCACTGTAGTGATGCAGAGAAAATACCCCTCATTGCCCCCCAACTATCCGGCTTAAAAAGGCACTATCTGACTTGAGTAATCCACATATTCATGGTCTGTGAATGCCACTTTAGTCTTGCTTTTTAAAAAGGAACATTCCAGGACTAAAGAGGCCCATTTCAGAGATAAATGCTATCAGTTTTGCCAGCTGGGATCTTTCATGTTCAGCGCTGTATCTCAAACGCTGCAGTCAAACAGATAGTATCTGACAATTTCCTAAGTCTGATGAGCATCACCTGACCGTCCACAGGCTCATATTGATGGCGTGACTTCAGACAGATCACCTTCACTGTCCACGGACATACAGCCACTCATCACTCCCATAGACCATCTGTATGATCCATGAGCTGCTTCTCATTTGGTTTTATTTATCAGGCTGTAAATGCAGCCATGGGCTTTTAAAAACAGAAGGCCTTGGAGAACCAAGGACTGTGTACCCTAGAGTTGTGGTGGCAAACACAGAAAAGGAGGAGTGTGTTTTTGAATATAGAAAAAAGGAATCCTCTCCTTTGTATTTGCATATGAAGTTGCAAGTTGCTCTCTCTATATGCAAATGTGCACCAACAATGAACTAAGGAAATTTTCTGCAAGCGTAAGAACCTTGACCTCCTCATTATTCCCCGCCTTGAAGTTCATTGAAAAGCGACATTGTTTCTTTAAGATTGCACTTGCAGTCATCAGCGGGTCTGTCCATTGTTGGGGGAACAGAAAGCGAGTTGAGGTTGATATACGGGGGCCGGAGACCAGTTGCGCATATCATCAGCGAACCAGCTGCAGTGCAGGCAGGCAGCAGTAGCCAACGAGTCCTGAACGCATCCTTCCAGACATGGGTAAGAAACTCTCCGGACACTTATTAGCGTTTTCTAGCAGATACAATACGTCACATTATCAAATCTGCATTTTATCTCGTGTGATTGCACGCTGATATGAATGGGACTGTGAAAGGGCATCACAAGTTATTAAGTTTTTTTGTCAGTGTAGAGGGCGGCTACTCACCGGCTGATGCTCCACTGATATTATGAGATTTATTTCATGCTTCAGATGGCAGGGCTACTTTCAGAGGAGGCTTGTCGCATTTGCTTTCGGTCACAATCTTTCTCAATTTTTAAAGAGGCGAACTTGGCCTCAGCTTTGCATTTTGTAGCAGAACGAGGCCTGTATTTTCATTTGAGTCACAATGGAGAGACTGTGGGCAGAGATGGCTGCAGCCCTCTGTTTGGGCTGGTGATGTCATTAATTAGTTAATTGGTGCAAGGTGTATCTGAGTTGTGGTTTATGTGGATGCTGCTTGCAACCAGTGATGACCAGATTTCTCTGTGCACACAGAAATATGTGTAATTGACCTACTTTAATTTACTTATTTACTTCCCTCCTAACAATAGTTGTCTGTTGTTTGCTTGTTTTCTCACAGTTTATCTTTTAAAACTCGCTCTTCCGTGCCACATTAAAGTAATGCCATCTGAATGACAGTGATCACAGTTTGCCTGTCTCTCACTCTCCCATACACAATGCCATGTAGAAGTGTTCAATTAAAGAGCTATCTATTTGCCCCTCCTGCCATCTGTGTTTACTGTAATGGTACCAACCACAGTCTGTCTGCTTCCATTGTGCGTGTCTGTGTGGATGCACGCATGCAAGCGTGTAATGGCACACATGCACACAGTTGCATTGTTTGTTTATGGATTTGCTTTTTTCCCCCGTCCTCTTCCAGCACAGACAGCTCCCCCACTATCACTTTCTTGTTCCCGTGTCTCCCCAGAAGGAAGTCTATGAGTGCGCGCATGTGTGTCCGTGTGTGTCAAGCATAGAGGTGCCTCTGGCCTTTGTTTGCTTGACATTGGTGGCCCTTGTACCCCCATGATGCTGCGGGACAAAGACTGTTGTCTCTGCAGTCACAAAAGCAGCCTCTCTCTCGCTTTCACTTTGTCTCTCCTCTCCGTCCTCCCCCTTTTCTCACACTCTCCATGCTGGGTGGTGAATGGAGTCAGGGTGCGAGCTGGGGTCAGAGCAGACACATCCCCATGCCCTTGGCCCTTTGGCATCCATTCAAACAGCACATGACTATCAGGGAGAATGCACAGCTTTACCAAGGGAATGAAAGTGTTAACAGCTGCAGCTTGGTCCACACTGCCAAAGTTAAATGAACACATTTTCTTTAAAAGGTTGGTCCAGATTTTAAAATAAACCTAACTTACCTCTGGTTGTTATCTTGGTATGTAGATAGCTTCAGCTTTATGTGCCCAAGTTTTGAGATATCCATCTCTAAGATTTCTGCTTCCACCCCGATTCAATGGAATATCGTGTGGTGCTCACACCATTAAAAATGACAGAGTTCTTTCTCTGAATAATCCAACTCATTGTACTCTTTCATGGGAATTACTTTCAACCAAAGAAGCAGTCACTATGGAAACTGTTGACACAGAGTTTTGTGACTTATCCAGCATGACAGAAAAATTGATTAATTGATTTGGGGACAGACAGAAAATTAATCACTGCAAATTTTGATTAATCATACATTTTCAACCAGCTCTTTGGCTGTTGGTTGGACAAAACAAAGATGCTGACTTGGGCTCTGAGAAACTATAGCAGACATCTAACCAGTGAAAACAATTGGAGGTCGATAGTACTGTGTGAAAAAGGCTGTGGCACACTCTTTTTAGTGGTATCTGAAACTATATAACCTAAGGCATCCATTGGTACCAACTATTTCGGCATAGTTTGTCAGAAATTGGGCTAAATAACAATAATAATTTTGGCCAAGAAACAACTGGCATGGACATTTTCAAAGTGGTCCCTTGAACACTCACCTCAAGATATCTGAATAAAAATGGTTTCTGTGGGTACCCACAAGTCTCCCCTAAACTTGAGAAGGCTCAGTCAATGTACTCTTTAAATTTGAAACATATACAGATACATGACACAGTAAAACAGGATTGTGGAACTCAAAATGTTAATGGCACCGATATTAGTCTATGCACATCAGATCTTTGCAAAATAAAACACCAAAGTATATCAGTATGTGATTCATCAATTCTCCGTATTGATTTAGTTAGATTTTTAATTAGCTTAAATACTTCAACAGTATGAGTTAATCCCTGGAATTTAGTTATGGTTCTGGTGCGCCACCCAAGACTTTCAATGGCGCCATCTGGCCTCCCGTATGAAAAATTTCGGAATTGGGGTGGAGGCAAATATCTCATTGACGGACATGTCAAAACCAGGGCAAATGCAACCGAAACTATAGCTATCCCCAGAGCTAGGTGAGTCATTTTAATTCCTTGGATGAGCTGACCCTTTTACAGATTGCAGCACATGTTCATAATTACCCTAACTGAGTGGAAAGAGTTTTAAAAAAAAGAGATATTCCTCCTTTACAAGAAAGCACCAACCCTGCATTCTAATTTGTGCATTGGAACGGAGTCTGTCTGTCATATTGCATCAGCTAATTATGTGCCCTGACTTTCATGGTGCTGTGTCCTGACGAACAGGTTGCTATGACTGCTGTATGCGCTGTTTGGGTGGGGTGCCGTACTGCTCCCTGGTCGCCACACTGCTGTGTTTCTCTGGCATTGCCCTCTTCTGCGGTTGTGGGCACCAGGCACTCACAGAGACAGAGAGACTCATCGAGACGTACTTTGCCCGTAACCTTCAGGACTACATCACACTCGCCTACATGTAAGTGGTAAATTTAAGCATCATTAGAGAGACATTTTTATAACCTTGTCATGGGATTTCTCAGGATGTAGTCTATTTAGAAGGTTTAGGTTTTTTGGAACCCTGAGTTTTCTTTTTCCTTTTTCTTCTCAGCATCCAGTATTTCCAGTATGTCATCTATGGTTTGGCCTCCTTTTTCTTCCTCTACTGCATCGTGTTGTTGGCTGAGGGCTTCTACACCACAAGCGCTGCCAAGCAAACCTTTGGAGAGTTCAGGAGCACCATGTGTGGCCGCTGCCTCAGCTCCTCGGTGAGAGGGCCCAGAGTGGGACAAGTAAAGGGGATTGGAGAGATTGGATGGGATTAATACACATATCACTCCCTGGTGGGTGCTGAGCCGAAAATCTTAAGGCTGCTAAAAAACCTTTGGGGACATGCAAAGATAAGCATACAGTGTGTGTTTGAGTGGTTGGGGAAAAAAGGCTGAGTGGTTGGAAGAAGAGGAGGAGAACAGAGAGTGAGATAATAAGTACAGCTAATCAGGAAAAAGTAAATGTGGTCACTAAGTGAGTCACTGCTCATAAAAACACTCTCTTAGATTATGTGAGTTTATTATGATGATGAGCCCTAATGTTTATTCTGCTCCCTCTTGTACAGTTTATAGTGATGACATACGTACTAGCTGTGCTGTGGCTGTTGGTGTTTGCCTTCTCGGCCCTGCCTGTGTACTTCTTCTACAACATGGACGCCACCTGCCACACCATTGATGTTCTGACTGAGACCCCAGCGAGCATCAACCAGCTCTGTGTTGATGCGAGGCAATACGGTAATGAGACATCTTTTAATGGCAACGTATAAGAGTTGTACCAACACATCCCATTAAAAGACCAATACCAATAATGAGCTGTTCCTATTAACAGCCTGTACAGCCAAAGTACACTGGATATTATTGTCCAGAAACTATTAACAAGACAAAGAGTCTACAGCATACAGCTTACTCTGCCTTACTCTTTCTCTGATTGGCTTACCCTAACATCCTTACCCTAACTCTAACCAGTCCCATTCCTCTTGCCTAAACCTAACTCATCCAACCAATAAAGGCAACGAGCACTAGCCAATCATAGGGAGAGTAGGGCAGGTCATTCCTTCGCTATCCTACAATTTGCGAATTTGCGTACGTGGGCGCAGATGCTAACATGCAGGTATAATGTTAGCCATGTTTGCCATCTTGATGTAGTGCGACCTTCTCTATCTTGGTCTGCTCGCTATCCCCAAACATGACACAGGGATCGGGACGGATGGAGCATTCAGAATAACGTTAGTTTATTGTGCAACAACGGGACATACCGGTACACAGCCCCAGTTGCTCAGGATGAATGGAAAGCTGGTCAGATGTTTGACCCTACTCAAAATAATGAGCAAGATTCCATATTAGTAGACTAGTTGATCTTTTATGTCTCCGAGCTTGTTAGCAGCTAACCAAAATGCTAACGTTACTTGTTCCCATGCAGACCAACTTAAGGCCCATTTATGCTCAATGTTAAATACGGATCCGGATCCAGACGGAGCCTTCTGTCCGTGCTCCGCGTTCATTTCGTCCGTATTTCTGCACGTTTCCATATAGCTTACTGATACGGGCCAAACGGAGCAGTACTTCTGGAAACCGTGGGGGCAGTGTTGCTGTCACTACCTGATACATAGCTCTAGTGAGACACAAAGAAGAAATAACAATGGCGGAACTTTTTCACCTTAAACGCTGAAAATAAAAGAGGGAGGCAGGTTTTTCCTATTTTATCTTATTTTGTTATATTTCTCCCTCTCCCCTCGCTGGAAGCCTCCGACCTCCCGCCTCCCGCCTCCGCCTTGATTAAACACTGAAAATAAAATAAAAGAGGGAGACAGGTTTTTCCTATTTCATCTTATTTTGTTATATTTCTTCCTCTCCCCTCTCTGGGAGCGTCCGACCTCCCACCGCCCGCTCCTGTCTCAAACACGGAGGCCTCCCTCTCCACGGAGCCCGCACTCCCGGCCCCGCACATACCCCTGAAGCTCGGGTCTCCCTCTCCGCGGAGCCCCCACCCCCCGCCCTCCCGGCTCCGCTCCGCTCCCAGGGCCGACCCTCGCGCCCTCCGACTGGGGTCCCTCCGTTTTTGTCTTTTATGCAAGAGGTACATTATCAGTATCTCCTCCACAGTCGCCATGTTTGTTTTTTAGTTTGTTGCTGTCATAAACGTTTGACTCTGGGCTGCCTCCTGGTGGATATATTGGTTAACATCCATGCCAACGTAAAGGGCGCATGGAAGTATGTGGACAGTGACCGTAACATCGTATCCGTATACATTTTCGTACGTAAAGGGAGCACAAAATTAGAAATTAATCATACACCAAAGCTGCTTATTTACACTGTTACATTAGCATGCTGACATTTGGTAAAAATTACCAAGAAGCACAAATGAGACCTGAGGCAGATGGCCATGTCATTAGTTTTGCAGGTATTTGGTTCAAACTTGGGCAAAAAATATTGTTTTGTGCGCCAGATGTCACGGCAGTCCATCCAATAGTCCAGACGTTTCACCAAAATGCTAACCTCATGATGAAGGGATCACCAAAGTAAATTGGGATTCATTTTCTGTGCTCCACAAATGTCTATACAAAGCAAAACAATCTGCCCAATAGTTGTTTATCTAATACAGCATTTCTACTGCGCTCCCATACTCAACTCGCTCTTCTATGGTTTTCCTCTCTGCAAAAGTTGTGGATAGTACCCGGTACTTTTTCTGGTACCACCTTGGTCGAGGTTCCAAGCAAGCTGAGCCGATATTAGAAGGTGGAGTTGAAACACTGTAGACCACTGATTGGTTAGAGAGAATTATCACTAGAATCGTCACCTGGGCAACAAGGGAAAGCCTGCCGAAATGTGTCATTTTTAAATAGCCAAGCTTCCGTCAATAGCCACCAAAGTTTTTCGTTCACTCAACCCAGATGAAAGGATTCAGCGAATGTTGCACTGAAGATGATCTCATCACAGTTTAATATAGCGTCCCTACGGCAAACAGCTAAGAATTCTGCCTATGCTGAGAGGGTAGTGGAAAACTGAGCATGGAAAAGGACCCGGCACCGAAAATGAGTTGAGTCAAGTCGAACCAACCCGAACCATGTAGTGGAATTAGGTGTTTCAGTGTGTACTAAAGTGCTGGGTCGACCCACAGACCAACGTTGCCATCCCTTGAGCACTAGACTGAGGTTAATAACAGATTTGCCATACAATGAGCCACTCTGTTGCTCTGGGTGACATGTTCATTCATTACCATGAATATGGGCACAGTACTTTTTGAGACATTCCCACACACAATGTCATGATGGCACAAATATTCCCTTATTTATGGAATGTGTATTAATCCGCAGCTAAAATTAGTCCCCAATAAATTAACTATTTACTCATGTTTCGTAACATTGGTAAAAACGTGTTTAAGGAGTTGATTTAACCTTTTTTTTTTTTTTTTTTTTAGTAAAATGAACCTATGTATTTGTACCCGTTTTCAAAGATTTACGAAGTAAGTGCCACAGACAAGGTAGGGAAATCAGAAAGTGCTAAAAACAAACTAAATCATTGTGGGTTTTGGTCTTTTCATGTGATTCGTGAACAATAAGAATAGGAATACTGCCATCTTTATCCTTTTGTTGTCTCTGTGATTCAGAGAAAGAACTGAGTAGAGAAATCTGATTTCAACAGGACTCCTGCCATGGAATGCAGTGCCCGGGAAAGCATGTGGTATGACTCTCTCCACTATTTGCCAGACCAGAGAGGTAAGAAGCAGAAAATACCTAACGCTCTGCAGTCATGTTCTACAGTTTTCCTGATATGAAATGAAGACGCATGTCACCACCACTAATGCAAATCTCCTATATCCTATCAGTACCGAATGACCTATGACCTCTACATTGCTGCCTTTGCCGGTGCAGGCATCACTCTCTTGGCTCTGGTGAGTGATTATGCTTCAGCCGGGGCCAATTTGGCTGCGCTTCCACAGTGGGGTACAATAGTGTTATGGCTCATGTGACTCAGTGACGCTCAAAGTGTAGGCAGCGAGGCATCTCAGGCCTCCATGACTGATGACTTCTGTACTATTGCTCTCTGTTCCTCTTTCTCAGCTGACACAAACATCATAATAGTGCCGTAATGTCTGGTGGTTTTCCAGCCAGGCAAATGGTGCACCCATTATACTGGCATGCTCCATTACAGAAGCTGTTATACGGATGGTATCTGCTATCAAATTAATGTCATTAGCAGTTAATCATATTTTTTTTATTATTATTATTTCTAGAATTTATGGATGTTGTGGATTTTTTTTTCTTCACTTCTGCTCTGACACTTCCTGTCTCTGCTTGTCCTTCCATAGCTGACCTATACTGTGTCAACCACCTATAACTTTGCAGTGCTTCGGTATCTTGGGAGAAAGGGCATGGGTGCACGGTGTTAGGCTCAGCAGCTTCCTGTCTGCACTATCACTACTTCACCATCCACATGGGGATCAGAAGGGACAGCAACAATTCTCTCCTTCCACATCATCAGCACAGAACCACCTGTGATCACGGACTCTTAAAAATGTTGTCTTTTATATTTTTACTTTTTTTTTGTTGGGAAGAATGTTATTTTTTTCTTTTCCTTTTTGTTATTTTTTACGTGTGAGGTTTGTCTGCTACTTTTAAATGTAGTCTTTTTTTCAGTATTTCCAATGCCATGTCACCAAAATATTTGTAAGTTATTGCTCTTGTTGCTTGCTGAGGTTAGTTTCTAAAATTCATTTCTGCTTTCCATTGGTTGCACTCAAGACACAAATAACATACCACTAATAAATTAACACATGTAAGAATATAACCACCAATTTGCAAAGCATGTGCTGCTAAAAATGCAGCTGTTGCAGAGTATAGGGATTACAGGTTACCATGGCGACCATCCTTCACATCTGGTTGCCATGGTGGCAGACAAGCACGCACTTGCAGTCTCACACTGACCTCAGGACTTTTCTCACGGGCTGGAGAAAAGCCTCAACAATGGAGTCGTGCCTGTTTTTAAAAGCTAGCCAATAAGGAGCCAGTTGCGGGGGGCCACCTGCGCTACGAGCCTCTGCCCAAGGGTTAGATTACATGTCAAGGGAGAGGGTCCTCCGGACAAAGAGAGGGTTAGACCCCTCTAAAGCCTCAATGCAGCTCTTCTGGGACAGCAACCCCACACACAACAGCGTCCACATGCTGCTGCGTGACCCCCCCACCCCCGCCTCCACCCGAATAATTGAAGCGATGGATTCAGAGTGAAGGAATTTTAGATGATTTTTGAATAGTTTCTTTCTGACAAAGGGACATGCTTGTTTAGTTTTGATCTAGAAAGGTCTGAAATTGTTTCTCATAATTGTGAGATGGCAAAAGCACTAGGTGCTAACTTATTGAGCGACCTCATATTATTAGACCTAAGAAAACATTGTTGAGGTGTGACTCCCCCCTACTGTTAATGCATGACTGAGGTACTTTTATAGAGATAGGACAGCTTTGTTTAGTCTCTAATTCTTTAGGAATTTTGTTGTAGTTATTGTATAACACATTTTTTTACTTACTGTAGCTGAACTTACTACTTCTTTTACACTTTGGGTATTACTAACTAAACCCTTTGCAGCATAATAAGTAGATTATTCCATTTGGTGTAAGCTTTACCCAGCTGTGAGTGGTGGATTTATCAAATGGCAGCTGGCTGTTTGATGATTATTTTTTTGTGTTGGTAAAATTTGATAATAAAAAGAATATTCTTTTGAAGTATTTGTGCAGAGTGCCTCTGAAAAACATTTTTGTATGTAGTCTGTGTGTGAAAGTGCAGTGTCACAGCGCTTAACTGGCGCCCCATTCTTGGCTTTCTGCCATATCTAGGGGCCAAGGTATTTTGTAAGGTGTTTTGTATTCTCTCCTCTTGTGTCCACAGGTGCACTGTTCCCTGCACTTGGCTGTGAACCAGGTGTACCTGAGGAAGCTGAGGCACAGGGCTAAAGAGGAGAGAGGCTATGACCTGTTTGGGAGGTTGCAGAGGGACAGAGGGGGGCCACTGTGCTCTCCGTACCCTGCGAACGCATCTGACATCTCCTGACAGCGCCTCTGGTTTTGCTGCAGGAGCTTTTCATGACGGCCATCACAATTGAGCTGGTCGTCAAAATTGTGCCGTTTTGTGATAGCATTAGTTCAGCTGATTTGCGTCATTATTTTTGTTTAAATTAAGCTATAGGCTGTTTTGTGTTCACATCTAAAGCACTATAACATCTGCATTTGACAAATGTCTATAGAATCTATAATTTCTGTTTATTTCCGAAAGTCAGAGATTTAGTTTGAAAGGCAGACATGATGATTTTTTTTTATTTCACAGTATGCGGTGCATGCCTGATATCCTTTTTAATGAAGAGGAAATAAACAGTGTTCACTGTCTCTCGGGTTCTCACACATACTTGGCCATTCAATGACATTCAAGGTCTTGTGTGATGAAATTCAAACAAGGTGCGTTTTGAGATCAAAATTCAAGACCTGTGTTTTACTCATGATTTTGCTGAGAAATACATGGTAATGCTTCATTTTAACTCTGCTGTTAATTAGTGCAAATATTGGGGCTTTTTCCTGAGTGTGAAATGACTTAGAGGTGCATAATCTATGAGTTTGCCAGCTATGAAATTAATTGCCAATTTATTAATTAATCTAGTGTTTTAAATGTGAATATTTTCAGGGTTTTTTTTACTGCTCTGTGACAGTTAACTGAATTAACTTTAGGTTGTGGAGAAAACAAGACATTTGAGGACGTCCTCTTGGGCTTTGGGAAACACTGATCAACATTTTTCACCATTTTCTGACATTTCATACACCACAACTAATGAATTAAATGAGAATCGAATCAACATATTAATCAACAATGAAAACAATCATTAGTTGCAGCCTTAAAATTTGCTGAAAGGTAGAAAGCTGAGGTGTACTGATTAATTTGAGTGACCTATTTTAGTTTTAAAAAATAGTTTTTGTTTCCAAACTTTAAAGTCATTTTTAAAACCAACATCCTTTCATGGATTTTCAAGGCACAAGCGCACAAACAACAGACAAGATAGTGTCTCCATTTGGTATGTTGCACGTTTTATTCATAGCCAAGCACTGGAGAGTATTCGCCGCTTTGCCAGCATGTTGGCACAACCAAGTCTTATCCTCCGTAGTGCAAAAAGGGGAGTCGGGGAAGTTGTCCATTAAAATCAACACATAATCAAGATGAACAGTCTGACTTTCACACAGCTTAAATCACACTCACGGGCTGAGCACTGAGGGTGAGACAGACGTTCAGTGTCATTTCGTACATTATTATAAAATGAATGCCCTTTGCGATTTACATAAGCCATTAATATGGACAGCCCAAAGAAATAAGTTTTTACATTCATAAATATTACAGGAACATTAAAAAAATACTGACATAAGACAGGGTTGCAGTGAAATAGGACGTGAGATAAACATATTGTAGGGTTTTGCTACCAGTTTATAAGTACCCAATGACTCTCAGGTAAGTTAGAATTCAGGTAAACACTGTGGTAGGCTACATTATCTGAACGGGATAAAACTGAAATGGTAAAGAGACAAAGTATTAACACTGACAAATGATAAGCTAACAGCCCTCATTTTTTGCTTTGAATTAATGTAGGCTACAAGCTTGATTTCATTAAAATGCCCCACCCAGTTCACAGTTAATAAAGTTCCTCTCGTACTGCTGCGAGTACTAGTACTCATAGCACCTTTACAGTAATCATATGTACACTCTGTTTATAATAAGCCTACATTAAACCAAAGAGCCATGTAAGTAAATATGACTGTACCTGACTGGATTCGGCTCACTTTCACAGTGAAGCTCCTCACCATTAGTCTGCATACACATGGAAATATGATGCAACGTACAACTTGAAAGGCAAATCTCAAGCTGAGAGAATACACAAGACCTTCAACATAACAGAAAAAGGTATGAAAACATGCACTATAATAAGAACAACCGTGGTGACTTGATGAAAACATATGCAACATAAAATGCTATTCCAGCAGCAATCAAAAACAACACTGAGAATGAATTCAGACCGTGTTAAACTAAGTTTGTAGCATTGCCCTCTCGAGCAGTAAAACCAAAGAAAGTCTGTATGTGAGAACATTAACATAAAAGTACCACCAAGCTGAAAACAAGTAAACGTTAAGTTGTCCGAATACTCAGTCATGTGTTTCACTCAATACTGTATAAATGGACAGGAGAGGTGATGCACAATGCACGCAGCTATGGCCTTATCCTTGTGCTCAGGCTATTTCACATTCAGCTAGAATGACCGGACAGACAGCACAGGGTGAATGTGTCAGTAAAGCACAGGAGACTGTCAGAATAGGCAAAGCTTGAGGACAGGAATGTTACGGCCTGCCTCGCAATCAACACAACAGGCACACGATTTACAAACATGCCGAAATTGTGAAAATCATTATTAATTCTGATAACTATAACCTCTATACATCTGGAAAACAGACGCAAATCAGCCCTTGATCGAACAGAATATCACACGTCTGTTAAAAAAACGTCAGAGGATGGAAATGTGCTTCACAGAAAAATAAACAGCAGTTTATCAACAACAGCAGCAAAAGCAGTATTATTTTTCAACTTCGAGAAACTCTGAATCTTAGTAAACAGGCCCATGTGCATAAATCATGGGAAATAAAAAATGATCTGATAGTGACTAACTCGTACACCTGACACCTCCGGCTACACACTCGCAGTGGTAAAACACATAGCACTGAAATGAATAAGGGCACCACGATAGCTCATACCCGATGCTTACAGTCAGAGCTGCAAAATTAAAGCTTACAGTTCCCTTCCCGTTGAAGACAAACAAGGTCATCTTCCTTTTGAGTGCAGCAATCATTTAAGGTCCTCGTACCTCATATCACATTGGTCATTATACTGATGTTGGGAGTTCTCATGCATAAAATCTGCCTGAATTGGGAACACTGTCACTCACAGACATTGTCTGTGTCCGGAAAATACATTAGCTCCCCACTTCTGCTGAGAGATCTGATAACGAGAAAATGGGATGTTGTATTTCAAAGTCCCTCTCAAACCCAGGAAAGTCAGCTCGTGGACAGGCTGTTGATAAGTCACAAGACTGACTGGATGTTGCTGTGCCAAAGGTAGAGTGTGCTCTTCAAGAGAGGACTGGTGTATTCTCTCGTCGACTGTGGTAACTAACATTTTAATCACTTTAATTAAAATAAATGCTCTGAAAGCACTATCTGATGTGACTCCTGCATAGGCAGACAAAGCTGAAGCTGGATAAAAACGTTTTTGTGCAACACTACTGAAAGCAGACAGAGTACAAAGGATGAGTGTGCCTGTTACAGTGTGCCTGTACCTTGGTTAGAGCAATAATTCAACAATCTAGACACCAGCTGAATCCCTGACAGGGCACTCCTCAGAGCAGCTGTATCTTATCCATACTATCTTTAGGGGGTACTGTACTCAGTACCTTGTACCTACAGTACAGTATGTGTACCATAAACAGTATCTCACTGGCTCTTAAACTGCAATAGGTGAGTTTCAGCCAGAGAGATTAAGACAAGGTGGATGTACACCTGACCGATCAGCAGCAAGACGCACGAGAGGTTTTGCGGTTGCCGTGGAGATCGATAGTACTACTCAGTAGCGCATGGTCAATCTGGTCCTCAGCAGCAAGAACCTCTCTGACAGCTGCCTCGAATGCAGCTGTGACATTAGTGTCATCCTTTGCGCTGGTCTCGAAGTAAGGGCAGCAGCCATTCTCTTCACACCACGCCCGCGCTTCGTCCTCCCCAACCTCCCTCTGCTCCATGTCTACCTTATTGCCGAGCACCACAAAAGGGAACCGCTCAGGGTCTTTAACGTCTGAGTAATACATGAACTCCTTCTTCCAGCAGCCGAGGTTTTGGAAGCTCTGCAGGTCGTTCACAGCAAATGTGAGCAGGCAGCAGTCGGCGCCTCGGTAGAAAGGTGTGCGCAGGGATTTGAAGCGCTCCTGGCCTGCTGTGTCCCAGATCTGAAGGGTTACCAGACGCCCGTCCACCTCCAGGTCCCGGTTGAGGAACTCCACGCCAATGGTGTGGAAGGACTGGGAGTCGAAGCGGTCTGTGACATAGCGGTTCATTAGGGAGGACTTGCCCACTCCACCGTCCCCCAGCAGGATCACCTTCAGGAGCAGGCTCTTCCCGCTCATCATGTTTTCTTCCCACCCAGCAAGGCCCCCACACCAGGTGGAAGACCAGGGTCAATTTAACCTAGAAAGAGGAAGAAACACAAATCATTTTTGGCCAGTGTTGGGGAAACTAAATTAAAACTGTAGTTTCACAAACAACTTGTTACTTCACAATGAGAAGTACTTAAACTACATCTTGACTACTCTCAAAATATTTTAGCTTTTTAAAAGTAAAACTAGTCTGAAAAAGTAGTTAACTTCATTCAAACTACATCATGGGAAATGACCACAATCTTAGTTTGGGCTCTCATATCGTTAGACAGAAGTACAACTGAACTGACACTGAGTAAAGTGTTGGTGTGTTTGATTTTGGGACGAGGACAGGCCCTTTTTCACCTAGGCAGCCCAATGATGTTTTAAGGAGAGGAAAGGGAACAACTGTTGGGGTGAAATAAGGCATATGCCAGACAAAAATCACAGCACTCCACTGAAGACACCTTGGTTGCAAACTGGAGGTTATTTTTGTCCATTTGCAAGTGATTGTCATCAAATTACAGCTGTGGCACTGTTCCTCATTGTATGCCAAAACAGTGTCAGAATACTATGAATATGTAGTTTTTACTACACAACATAAACTACATGACCCAAATTGGTTAGCTTCTGAAAAGCTACTAAGATTTAAATGTTTGCCATCCAACTACTGCAAAATGTATCTAGTAACTGAACTACATGTAGATAACTAGTTACTAACACTGCTCTTGAGAAATGGGAAATGACACATACTGGATTCTCCGAAAACATTTAAGGGGAAGGAACTATGCCTATTTTCAAAATTAATTCATTATTCCTATGATCTAAGACAGTCCAAAAGCATTAAAGAACATGCACATCTTTCTCCCAAACCCAAAAACTAGAGTGCTACAACTCAAGTTTGTGATGTTGTACGGTATAAAGTCTGGAGCTGCTTCATAGACAGTGACTATTGATAGATGTTATAGATCAGTGGTTCCCAACTGGCCCAGCCCCGGGGTTCAAATTTCACCTTAGTCATTAGTTCATTCAGCATCATACGTGCGTTTGGCTATGTTGTCGAGATACTTTGTTGTCTCTCTCTCTCTCTCTCTCTATAGCAGGAAACAGCACTTCAAAATAAAAGCTGTGCACAAGAAATTCACTGCACTTAAAAATAAATTGTGATTTTTACAAACTCAACACGTTTCAGAGTCACTTGCAGTCCATTCAGACATGTGGACCCACTTTTAGACCACAATGCTCCAGTTGGGAACCACTGTTACAGATGACACAGAGTACTCAGGGGAATGGAGACATTTTCTGTTTCAGATCTGAGAACACTAGAATAGCATGATGCTCATTTTGGTTTGAAATAGAAAACAGTCTGTTTGCATTGTGGATGGAGAAGGTCCAGACTTTATACCCATCACAAGTTTGAGACTTACTTCTCTGGTTTCTGGCTTTGAGAGAGAGTAGCTCATGATCACAAATATTGATTAAACTTTCCTTGGCCATGGAAACGACATATTCTGAACAAGCAACCAGACTGTGGGCTTGACTTAGTTGATGATTCAGTTTAGATAACTAGGGGAGAAGACTGCTGTCCCAGCAATTTGTATTCAACCTCAAGTGAACCTCACTGACAACAAATGAAAGAGAGATGTGTAATGGTTGACTAGTGTCAGGGACACAATGACAGGGGTGAAGGACCGAGAGGTCTGCCAAAGGTCTCAGGTTGAAGCTGGGTTGGATGACCACAGCCTTGTTTACTGCACAATACTAACATGTACTGTACTTGCCAGCCATAGCACAGGACACGAGCCGTATCCTGCAGAATTAAACACATTACTCTTATAACATATGTAGGAGTCTTAGGCCACAGCAAGAGGGGCGAGTCAGGATCATGAGCTGACACCGGAGACGACCACTGCACCTGCGCAGACCACAAACATGAACCAGCTTGTTGTCAACAGTGACTGGAGGCTACAACTCTGATGAAACTATCTGGTCGATGGTCTCTGCGGAACTGTGCACCAGGTGTTTCCGAGCAGAAGTGAAGTAGGAACCGAAACAGGTAACAGACCTTTAAAACCATGAGGCAACAAACAATAACACAGTCATCCTGTGCAGCGGCTTACAAGCTTAGCAGCCTCCCAGCCAACTAACAAGCTAGCCGGCTAGTGTAGCGGCTTGTTGACATCCTACCAGGCTAACCGTTAGCCTCCGCGCGCAGGCGACTCAAACTGTTTATAAAAGCAAACAAACAACACATGTTGCAGCGAGGTCACGTGCCTGTAATTTAATGCATCTAATGTAAATATAACAAACATGTATTTTCACTCACCCTGCTCCTAATAGTTGATATTGCGTGCTCTGCGCTCCTCCCCTACATCTGACTGAGATTGAGTGTCGTGACGTGCGCGCGCCCATGTAGCGGCTGCACGTGCACACCGGTCAGACAAACAGAGGTCCTAAAGCCTGTGAGGTTCACTGTCCGTAACAAAGTCTCACTGTGTCATCATGATACACATGTGATTCTGATTCTGTGGTACTTTATACTTTTATTGTGTCAACGGGAAATATTACACCTTTTAGTTCTTTATATACATTTAAGTGACAGCTTTTAAACCTACTTTGCAGATAAAGATTTCATGTACAAAACATCCCTTGAATTTATAAATGATGTATTGTTAGGCTAAATGAACAGCACATAAAGTAGATCAATTCTACTTAAACTTTGATGCAATTGTATGAACAATCCAGTGATATAATACATCATATAAGGTATAACACACACAGAGGCTCACAGTGTTGGGGAAGCTATGAGAGCATAGCTTTGCAAGCAACAAGCGCTACTTTAAAAATGCTACTTTAAAAAATGCTTCTCAATTGAGCTTATTGGGGGGAAAGGTGCTATACTCTCTTACCACACTTCATGTCAAAGGGAATTATTGTACTTTTTACTCCATTACAGACATTTAACTGACAGCTAGTAGACCTACACTTACTTTGCAGCATTGCAGCAAGCAGGAATATTCAAGTAACTTCTATATAGCATGCATCAACTTCTCTAAACATTTGTTTAAAAATAGCCATAATCAATACTTATGACTTCTTGTGGCAAAACGGGGTTTAATTATGGTAAAGAAGCAATGGCAAAATAAAAATAATTCATTTTTTAGGGCCCCAAATTGTTTGTAGTTACCACCTGTGTTTAAAGCATATATTGATCAACTGTCTCTTTTAGAGCAATGTAGATTTGAAAAAAACAAAGGCACAAGTATTAGTAGTATTTAGTAGTTAGTATTCCACCTGTAATACAACATTTTTTAGTTTTTATTTTAAGCAACATAGCAGAACAGCTATCATTCATTTGAAAAGCAATACCATTTGCATTATTTGGTTGAAACATGATCAGAATAAGGTTTATTACCAAGTAAATTTTCACAAACAAGGATTTTGCTTTGGTCTTTGATGCATGCATTAAACATACAATACACTTATTAAGAGGAAATAAACCTAAAGGCAAAGAACAGAAATATAGAATAGAGAAATTACAATAAAGATATTAAAAAGATACTTTAGAAATTCATTAAAACCACAAATATATACAATAGAGCTGGTTTAAAATGAGAATGCTGTACAGTTTTGTGCAGAATGTGCAAAGTATTTATCACTATATAGCAAATTTGTGCAATGAACAGAGGTAATAGTCAAAGCTGTGAGTTAATGGAGTTAATATAAAAAGCAAATGTAGGAATGAGATGGATAATGTTTTTGTAACAGGCTTTATTTATTTACTTCTGCTGATATGACTTGAATAGCAGTATAGTGTAGAGACAGTTGATGACTTTGGTGTTTTACTAGGTAGACAGGTTACTCTCCTTTATATTCTATTCTGTATCCTATATTGGATGTCGTATGTGATTTGTAATATGGGCTTTATGAATAAAACTGAATTGAAGTGAATATATTCCAGTGCCTTTTTGGTTGATATGTGGGGACACTGTAAACAACCAGAAAAATGTGAGGGTATACTCTGTATACCTGCGTATACCCTCCACTACACCAATTAGTATACTGTTACTGTTCTGAATTGGTATAGGAGACAATATTTCAATTATTTTTTCTGTATGAAATATTTGTCATCATGTCATTACACTCAGTTTTTGCAGTATTTTGCGACAAAATAAATACTGTTGCCGTGGTCACAGACATCTAATGGCGCAATATACCCTCCGGAGCTGTAGGTGGCGGTGTGCAGCCTGTGTTAGTGTGAGACTCAGAGAAGAAGAACAGCAGAACCGTAGAAGAAGAATCCAGCTGTTTTTATTCCCTCTGCTCTGTCCCGTTGGCTGTGTGCTAACAGACTGCATCACCGCTCATTTAAAACAACTAAACGAAGAATAGCTGAGTAATTTTGCTTCGAAGAATCGAGATAAACGCCTCTTCATGTGTTTGCTGCAGTGGTGAAGGTAGGAAACTGTAAATGTGTCGGTGTTAGTGCATGCTCACAAACCACTGACACGTAACGGTATGACTGAAATGTTAGAGGTAATTGCTAATGTTTGTTCAGCAAAGTTAGCTGTGAGGAGAAGTTACTGCATCTACAACACTCTCACTTGGGTTATTAGGTCCAGAACAGACTGAGGAGTCAGACATTAGACAGATAAGAAAGTGCACTGATTTGTCCCTTTGAATGGTGACCTATTTGTATCCGAGTTTTGCAAGTCTCTGAAATGTCTTTCCTGTTCTACTCAACCTTGCAGATGGCGGGTAGGGGCAGGCTGGTGCCCTGTGCGTGTCTGGGGCTGTTTGGTGTCCTGTGCTGGGTCTGGGTCTCCTTTGCCTCCTTTCCAGATGACCAACTTCCCCTGGAGGCCCTGGATGCAGTGGACCGAGGAGCCTTTCTGCCCCAGAGTGCTCTGTCAGAGATGGAGTTTGCCTCCATCAGTTCATACAGAGGACCTGGCAACAGAGACCGCCGCAGCAACAAGGAGCTGCCCATCCTCCTCTGGTGGAGCGCAGGACTGTTCCCACATTTCCCCGGTGACACCGAGCGCATCGACTGTGCCACATCCTCCTGCCTGGTCACAAGCAATCGCAAGGTACCAGAGATATGTAACCTCATAAAGCCTTTCAGTGACACTCTTGGCTTAGACAGAGAGAAGACGCATGCACACATTAATAATAATCATCACCTGAAGTTGTTCTGCCAGTAATCTTGAGTTTGATCTTGAAAGGTGCAGCTGTACAAGCGGACAGCATCCATCATCTTTTATGGAACAGACTTTCGGGCATATGAGGCTCCGCTCCCTCGTCTCCGCCACCAGACCTGGGCACTGTTCCATGAAGAGTCACCCATGAATAACTACATCCTCTCCCATGGACCGGGAATCAGGCTGTTCAACTACACAGCCACGTTTCGCAGGGAGTCAGACTATCCCCTGACCCTGCAGTGGCTGCCCTCTCTGGATTACTTGCTGAGGCCTGTGGGCGTGTCCCTGGAGGAGAAGAACCGGCTCAGGAGAGAGGGCCTGGCTCCTGTGCTGTACATGCAGTCTCACTGTGATGTGCCGTCGGACAGAAACAGATATGTCCAGGAGCTCATGAAGTACATTCAGGTACAATTCATCGATTTTCTTTTTTGGGCCATGATTACAGAGATGCATCCAGTTTACTACCTGCAGCCTGTCTCACCAGCTGTGTGTAAGTTCAAACTTGGCCTAGTCATAATGTAAATTATTACTACGTTGTGATTTATGCATTACTTAAAATAAAAGCAGTGTCACCACGGAGATAAGTTACAGCATAACTTTAAGTAACAACTAAATAGATACACATGCCCCCAGGGTAGGTATAAATCATAAAATGTCACAGAACTATACCCACTGATGGTAAAACAGCAGCTTTTCTGCCACACAGCATCATTTTTAAAATATTACATGCCATTTTGCAACACAGTTATCCAGTCTTAATTGATATGATATTGCAACATTAATCTAGGTTACTACGATGTGCTAGGATGACAAGTAGATCAGTTGTTTGGTCTAAAAAATGGTGAAAATGTCTTTTCTAAAGCCCAAGATGGCGTCCTCAAATGTCTTGTTTTGATTACAACCCACAGATATTCAGTTCACTGTAGTAGAAAAAACAAAACTAGAAAAAAATTCACATTTAAGAAGCTGGAATTTTTCTTAAAAAGTTAATCAAACTGACTATTTGATTATCAAATTAGTTGGCACTTAATTGAATAGTTGACAACTCATCAGTTAATGAATTAATCGATTAAATGTTGCAGCTGACGATGGAACTCTATCTTTGATCCTTGATTGGCTGCTTGCCTTAGTTATGATGTCACATCCAAACTAGTAAGGTTATGTTGCAGGTAGTAAAATAGTAGTTATTATGCCTCTCATGTCAACTTAACACTCTAACTAAGAAGAGAACTTACACATAGCTGGTGCGACCCGGTGTGGTTTAAAAAGACTCCGATATACAAGTCATGTGCATAGTGAGCTGCAATTTTCCAGTTATTGCAACTGAGGAAGAATCATAGTTCTACAATCCACTTACTGTAGCAGTGCTGTATATAGAATAAACTGAAGATATTGTTAGGCACATCTCCTAGTTTTGAGGATATTCCTTTTATGCCTCTGAGGCGTTATGTTCTTGGGTTGTCCGTCCGTCCATACGTTCAACCATCCCATTCTTGTTAACACGATATCTTAAGGATGTCTTGAGGGAATTTCTTCCAATTTGGCACAAACATCCACATGGACTCAAGGATGAACTGATTAGAAACTGGTGGTCAAAGGTCACTGCGACCTCACAAACATATTTCTGGGCATAAAGTCAAGAATTTGTACACTAATTATGACAAAGTTTCACACAAATGTCAAACCAGATAAAATGATGAAGTGATGACATTTATGTCCAAAAGGTCAAACGTCATCTTCACTGTGACATCATGTTTTGCAAAAAAAAAAACACTTCTCTGGCCATTATTCAGGTGAGGCTTTTGGTCAGATACCAAATTTGTGACACTGATCTTGGGTGTCCATCTCGAAACTGTGCTGGTTGTGCAGATCTTCTGTGCTGCCCGGGTGAAGATGTGTGTGATTTGATTTGATTTGATTTGATTTTTATTTGTCTCAAACAAGCACAAGCATAAAAACAGGCAGTATATGTAAAAGGAAAAAAATGGCACACTGTGATAATGTGATAATGTCTTCTGTCATGGCTACATATGAGTCTGGACAGACATGAATGTTAGCTGTAAGTGTGACTTGACTTGTTTGCGGAGGCATACAACTGCAAGGTGGTAATTCTAGTTTTCATTTTCAAAAGAAGGAATAGTACTAAGAGTAATGTGTTGATGTGTTATTCATTTCTCTCCCGTCCTTTGACATTTAATCTCCTTTTTAAATTTGCCTCGACTCCTTTTCTGAACAAGTAACAGAATGCTTTCCTGCAGGGTTTTGAATAGTTGTCAGTCGTCTCCTCCATTTTAAACCCCACTATATCCATTCTTTATGATAAACATCATTTGACTCTCATGCACAGAAATTCTGTGGCTTGGAGTCCTCCTCATTTCCACTTGCACATACTTGTACACACAGGTCATTAGGTCGAAGTCATTCATCTTTAGGCATGCAACAGCAGTATCACCTCTGTAAATGTTTTGTAAATCTAGCCCACAGTGTGATGTTTGTGAATCCCCATCGGGAAATGAAATGTGAGAGTTCAATTAGAAATGTCTAATCAGGGTTTTATGAAAAATGTAGACCATTAAACATGTGCCAGAGTCACATTAATAATCCTCCAAATGTTTCCTGAGTAAGGCCCCATCTCTCTCTCATTATTTTCCTCTCTGTAGGTGGACTCTTACGGGAAATGCTTGAACAACAAACCTCTACCTGAACATCTGGAGGACACATCCACAGCCACCGGAGAAGAGGCCAACTTTATGAATTTTGTTGCCCGCTACAAGTTTCACCTGGCACTGGAGAATGGCCTGTGTCCAGATTACATGACAGAGAAGCTGTGGCGGCCTCTCCATCAGGGCTGCGTTCCCGTCTATCGAGGCTCCTCTGTGGTCGCAGACTGGATGCCCAACGACCACTCTGTAATCATCATAGATAACTTCCCCTCACCGAAAGCTCTAGGCGAGTTCCTCAAACGCCTCGATGAGAACGATGATGAATATGCAAAATATTTAGAGTTCAAGAACCCCACGCGCATCACTAACGCTCGTTTGCTGGCGGCCCTGGAGACGCGCGAGTGGGGGGTTAATGACATGAGTAAACCCAACTACCTGAATGGATTTGAATGTTACGTGTGTGACCGGGAGAATGCACGACTGGCAGCAGAACGTGCACACAGGAAAGCCCCTGCAAAGAACCCCCCTCCTCAGCCTAGAATGGCCAACAACTTTCACATGGGGTGCCCCCTGCCCAGCCCGGGGTACGGAGATGTCCAAGACGTACCAGCAGATGATGGGTGAGTTTGTCTTAAATTATTCACAGTGCCAGGTGTGAAACCCTTCTACTTCCTGTACTTTAATGTGAAGAACAACGTCCCCAAGGGGCGAGACACGAGTCTATTTTAACAGTCTAATTAAAATAGCTTCTGTGATGAGCCTAATCTGTTTGTATATCTGTCCGCAGATGGTTACAAATATGGCCTCAGGATTACTGGCAGAGCCTGGACCAAGCAGAGGGGCTGGAGTCTCTGATAAGACATAACGAGTCAGACCCTTCACTGCTGTGGAAGCACATCCAAAACATTGCTGTGAGCAGAGCCAGAGGAAAACACTGACACAGGCCTTGAAACAAACAGAGGATGGAGCACATCCAGGATTACAGAGGTGTCCCACATTATGCATCCCCTCTGTTTAAACGAGGGAATGAAGCAGAAATTAGTAATATTTTTTGCACCTGAGCCAAACCTCCTTTTACCCATATGAGCAGTATAGTTATCCTATAACAGAGTTTGATATTGTATTCAGCTGACATGATACTTTTGTCCTTTATCCCAGGTTCACTAATGGGAAAATAATGTTTTAGAGTGCTATATGCTAATATTTTCAAGTTGCTTTATTACTCTAACCGAGGTGCCATCATTGCCCTTACTCTGCCTTGCATTGTTAACATTAACTGCGTGCGGTGCAGTTGTTCCACCGAGGCACATTCTCATGGGAGGCAGCTTTTCATTGGACTGGGGCAGAGCCAAAGACTTGTCCTCTGCACCAAGAGAGCTCTGCCTAACTGTGTGTGAAGACCATCAAGGCACTAGCCAATGATCTGCATTAGCTCCTTTACAGTCGCTCAGCAGGTAGCCGATGGTTATTAGCTGAAGTCACATTTATGTACACAGCTATTTTTAAGTGACTATGCAAGGAAAATATTATTTCACTGAGGAGCAGGAGGAAGGCAAATGTTAAGTTAAGTACAACTCCCCTGTGGGAAATCACTACTGTATTTGCAAGGTAGTCCTCAGGAACAGCTCATCTAATGAATCTCTGTGGCAGATACTTCACCCTAACTGTTGTCTGTTACATGATGCTAAGATCATGGTTATGTGCAATAATTTTTTTAATCATGCTTTTCTTAAACAAGTAACCGCTCGAGACTCCATGACAGTATTGTGTGTCTACTTGTGCACACTCCTTGCATCTCATATTTATACCAGGATTATCTAGATCATTTTATTTTTTTAACAAAGCATCATACATGTGAACACACTATTTTGTAACAAGAAGAGCAAAAAGAAGTTAACATTTTGTAATAAAGTCATTTTCCTGTTAAAGTATTATTGCAAAATTATATAATATTGTACCCCACTTGCCAGTATTAGTTTGCTCACAGTCATATGTAGCACATCATGTTGAACAGACACATCCTTCATAGTTCACTGAGGCAGATACAGATTTCACCACCAGGAAAAAAATAACAACAACACAAGCTTGTATAACATGAGAAATTAGAAATTTAAAGTAAGAATCAACATGTATTGGTCGTATTGTTCACTATAACGTCCTCTTTGATCACCCTAAACCACATCACTCCTGAGTTCAGACCCAACACGGGCCAAACTTTGTGAAAGAGCAGTTCTCACTTTATATGCAAATGAACATGAAGGGAAGGGGATGAGGATAAGAGGCTGCTGAAGAGCTTCGATAATCAGTCCAAGGCTCTGGAGTAGCAGGTCTCGCAATGGACTTTCCCACCGTGTAGGAACATGCTGTCGAGAAGATCTCCCATTGGCTTACGACACATCTCGCACTGAAAAAATGGAGAGAATGTTATAAGAAAATGTAATTATGAGACAATACAGTGAAGAGCTTTGTTTTTTATCCTTGAAATTCTCTCATAGTAACGTACTGCTCCGTAACAGACAGCATACAAAACTGCTGCAGCCTTAAAAACCCAATTGACTGATCCTTAATTCATATACTGGCAACATGCAGTAGCTAAATATAATTTGTATCTGAACACTTAGGTATTACGCATCTTAAATGAGTAGTTTGACATTTTGGAAATGCACTTATTTGCTGTTTTTCTAAGGCTTGACATTACAGCTCATTAGTTTAGCTTAGCATAAAGACATGAAAAGGAGAAACACTGTTCTGTTTATTCTCTTTTTTTTTGTGTGAAGACTGAACAACCAGGATCTAATGTAATATCAAAGCTTTTTTTAAGCATTAGATGATAATCAGATTCTCAAACATGGACATTTCCAATCTTAACACTGAGTGTCTACAAGTATTGTACGCTTAAATTTAATGCTTTTTAAGAGCTTTTTAATATCATTTTTAATCAAATTTAAATCTGATTTCTGGACAAATGTTTTCTTATCCAAGAACTGCAGGTAAGTATAAAGGTAAGTAGTGATATGTGGTCCCATGCAGAGGTAGGTTTGATGTAGGAATATGGTTATTAGAGTGAGTTAGGTTCAACAGGTAGGTGCAAGTATAAGGTAAAAAGACAGTATGAAGTTTAGGGTTAGACATGTAGACTTTGACTCAAAAGAGTTTGACTCATTTTGATCAGAAGAAATTAAAAGATGTATACATGAAATTAGCTAAAACGTTTGTGACAATTAAATTCAAAATAAGACCATTTAATGACTTAAGGCCCGATATTTTGAGACTTTTTAAGAACCTGCAGACACCCTGAACTAGCTGCCGGCTGTAACGTCGTATTTACCGTGCAGACATCAGAGAGGTATCGATCTTTTCATGTAACTCTCTCCAAAAAGCAAATGTTTGCCAAAATGTCAAACTATTTTTCAGGGAAACAAAAGCTCACTTCCTCCAGGTCAGCCCTGTCAAGGACTATTTATGGTCCAATAAATACCAAATTGTATCTTCAGCTGAAATGTATCTGAGCAGACGGATGGAGTACCTTGAAGCAGGTGGGGTGGCAGTTGATATTGAGGTGCTCGATGGAAATCTTGGCATCATTGCCCACCAGCTCCCCGCAGTATGTACAGGTGGATGACAGCGACCTGCTGGGGAGACACAGCGATTGAGACAAGTTAGTTTGGCCACTGACTCGAGCAGCACTCATGCAACCGCAGCTCTGTCTGGTAAAATAACCTCCCTGTCCTGTGCGAGGGAACTTAATAAGTGTAAATAATCCTTTCATGTCCCCGCTTAGCCTCCTAATGAGCAGGCTTGGTGGAATTTCTGCCCTGCTGCTTACACACATCTAGTTTCGTAAGAACTGGAAATAACACGGCAGGGGAAGAAAAGGCTTATGCTTATAGCTGGTTTTAAAACAGGTTTAGGGAATTGTGTTGTTAATGGGAGTAAGTGGAGGGGCTGCTGTGAGAGAAACTGACAGAGCTCGCTGTCAAATAATCTGACCCACAACAGAAACCAGAGCAACAAGAGAAGGAAAAAATTTGCGAAGAAGATTTACATGTGCTCACTGCTGAAAATTTGCAGTTGAATCAAGGGCGTAAATACAGACAGTGCAGATGGCATTGGGGTCTGTTGGGTGGGGAGCGGGCCCTCCAATGGTGTTAGGCAGAGGATGGGCCCTTGCCAGTGATTCAGATTGCAATCTCTAAAATACATCTGTTCAAAAAATAACTTAAAAACAGTGCCATTTGCTAGATATGCCCTTGAAAAAGCAAACCTTTCTTTTTTTCTATTGATAAAATAGACTAACAATTTATACCAAAATTATTTGCTCATTTTATTTAAAATATGAACAAACTAAAACCTATTCAAAGACCTATTCTGGTATTGTTGTTATATACAGATATGCAGTGATAAATGCTGGGTGATATGCATGTTGATGTCAAATTTCAAGTATCAATTCAATCATGTAACGAGACGACACAATAACCAGCATCTAGCGTCCACCAGGGCCCATCATAACTTCCTTATGCCACCAAGTTGAATCATTTGAAATAGCTAAATTAAAGTTGCAACACAAATAGTAAAAGTAATTGAAATGACAATTAAAATTGAAGTGCTAAAAGAGTTCAGCTGAAGTGAAAGTTTTTGGGTTGAAGTGAATATGCTGAAAGGAGCTGAAATGTCACTCTCATGGGCTGTGTCCACCGAGGCATTTTTTCCTGAGGGCAGCATTTTCTAAAAAGATTTGCAATGGGAGTGCCGCATAAGTACAGTATGCTACAAATGCCAGCAGCATGACAAGGCACTGAGCGGCTATTTTACACTGAGCCCTGCATGTTTGACATGAGCGCCAAGAGTTGAAAAATGTTAAGCTTCTGGTAAAATGTTGCACTAGTCACTGTCACTTTTTACCCAGACATCCAGTCACAATGGAGGAGGGGTGGGACAAAACCACAAAGACCAACCATCACAGGGGTGTATGTAGCTCAGAGGTAAAGCAGGTAGAACAGGTCGTCCTAATTGGAAGATTAGCGGTTCAATCCCCGGCTCCTCCAGTCCACATGTTGAAGCATCCATGGGCAAGATACTGAACCCAGAAGTGCTCCCAGTTGCTGCTCAATCGGTGTGTGAGTGCATGTGAATGGTCACTAAGTAGCTGGTGGCACCTGTGTGTGTGTGTGTGAATGTGACATGTAGTATAAAAGCACATTGAGTGGTTGGAAGACTAGAAAAGTGCAGTCAATTTACCATTTAGCATAATTAATACACGTTTCCTCTCATTAACCCACATATACTTGCAGGTCCGCTCCCTCTCCTTACTTGCTTCAGCCTCCCCTTTAGAGAGAGTTCTCTACCTTGTGTCGACATTTTTACTTCTGCTGATATTACATATCATAGCAACCAGACACAATCCAATCGTCTCTGCTGAAAAAAGCGCTGCGCCTCCACGGAGCTCTAAAACGCTCCCAGCAGGGTGTTTACTAAGGAGCGCCTGGCGTTTCCAGCTGGGGAAAAAAACACTTTTGTGGACACAGGGCCTAAGTGTCAGTGATAAATTGAGCTGGAAGTGTCAGAAGTGGAGGTCCTGAAAGACCTCAGTGCCGGTGCAAGTATAAACCTGAAAAATCTCGGTTGAAGGGTCTTGTGGGACTGTAGAGAGGTGAAAATTTCAAACGTTAAGACCTCAGGACCTGAAGGATTTGAGGTGTTACGTCTCATGAGCACCAAAAGTCAGTTGAAGGGAAAACAGATAATTGCAGTTGAACTGTCAGCTGATGTGTAATTGGTGAAAGCAGTTGAAATGTCATGTAAAGTGAAGGGAGAAAGGTTTATAGTAGGTTTAATAGTAATGTAGGGAGTTGTGTTATTACCTGGAGTAAGGGGAGGGGATGCTGTAAGAGTAACTGGTGGAGCTTGATGTCAAATAATCTGAGCCACTGTGGAAAAAAGAGCACACCTCATAAGAGCAGTGTTAGGAGGTTTATTCAGCAGTGTTTTCTTTTCATCAATATTATTTGATTGTGTAAATAATATATTGGTCCCACCTGTCAATATTGTCTCTGGCATTATGTAAGGCCAGCTCTGATGCACTGACATACTCCTTCAGGTACACAAACCCCCTAGAGCAGAGGCAGATAAAAGCACGATTAAGTTAAGATGCATAGTTAAAATATTAGCCGTCACTTTAATTTAAATGGCTAGTTTGTAAAAATTAAAAAAAAAACCACTTACTTTTTGGCCTCAGGTTCTGGTGTGTGGACACGCTGGTCTTCTACAGTCACAGACCTGGAATAGGTTTCATAACTGGAGACAGAGTGAGGCAGCGTTAGTCTCATCTTTCACTTACTGACGACAGTAGCGTGATGGGTTATACAGAAGGACTCCACATCTGTCAAATGTAACTCAGGAGGTAATCATTTTCTGCCATTGCTTGTTAATGGCATGCTGTTTAACGGGCTGTGATTTGACAAAAGGACATCTCTAATACACATCATTAATCTGACATCTGGAGACTGATAATTAGAGGGAAGGAAATGAGGGCAAATTGAAAGACAATGGGAGAGCAGATCTTGTCATTTAACTGCAGTAATAGAGTTGAGGCAGGAGTCTGTCTACACGGGGACTGCACGGGAGTTGCAGGTAACGTTCGATCCAGGATGCGGCATTAAGCGGATACAGCTGCATTCCCACGGGGTTTAGCCTAAATCTCTCACCCCTAACTAAGACGGCTGTGTTACAAACACAGAGACAGGAGCAGGTCCAGTGGGTGAATGTGTAAAACAAGATGGCGCGTGTTTGTTTTTAACACGTATCCTTAAATTAAACATTTATTCCATTCACAGAACGACAGGTACATTTAAAGGAATATTATTGGGTTGAATTCCTGGAGAAAAAATTTTCACGCATGCCTCCACGGGGAACAGAGAACCCAAAAAAGGTG